ATATCAACAAAATCAGAGATGAAAGGGGAAACATCACAACAGACACCAGAAAGATACAGAACATTATAAGGGAATACTTTAAAAACCTATATGCTACTAAATTTGAAAACCTAAAAGAAATGGACAGATATATAAAGGCATGGGAACCTCAAAAACTAAACCAAGAAGAGACTAACAGCTTCAATAGACCCATCACAAAAAGAAATTGAAACAGTAATACAAAACCTCCCAATTAAAAAAGCCCAGGACCAGATGGGTTTACAGCAGAATTCTATCAGATGTTTAAAGAAGATCTACATCCAATACTACGTAATTTATTCAAAAAATAGAAACGGAGGGAGAACTTCCAAATTCCTTCTATGAAACCAGCATCACTCTAATACCAAAGCCAGGTAAAGATACAACCAAAAAAGAAAACTGTAGACCCATATCCTTAATGAACACAGATGCAAAAAATCTCAACAAGATACTTGCAAACCGCATAGACACACATAAAAAGATCATCCACCATGATCAAGTCCGCTTTATCCCAGAGATGCAGGGATGGTTCAATATACATAAGTCAATAAACATCATAAATCATATTAATGGGCTCAAAGACAAGAACCACATGGTCATCTCAATAGATGCAGAGAAGGCCTTTGATAAAATTCAACATGCATTTATGTTCAAAGTCCTAGAGGGAATTGGATTGGAGGGAACATACCTCAACATAATTAAAGCTATATATAATAAGCCCACCGCCAACATCATTCTAAATGGAGAAAAACTGGAAGCATTCCCATTGAAATCAGGAACCAGACAAGGTGTCTACTATCTCCACTTCTCTTTCACATAGTACTTGAAATTCTTGCAAGACCAATAAGACAAGAGGAGGAAATTAAAGGAGTAATAATTGGAAAATAAGAGATCAAATTATCCCTTTTTGCAGATGATATGATATTATATCTAAGAGATGCCAAAAATTCCACCCAAAAACTCCTAGAAATTATTAACACATTCAGTAAAGTGGCAGGTTACAAAATTAACCTACAAAAGTCTGTAGCCTTTCTATATACCAATAACAAGCAATCAGAGAAAGA